TGGCGAACTTCTGATGGTCCAAAGCTATTAGTTAGGCCGCAACTGTGAACAGGACGCGACACGTATCACAAAAAGGTCCACGAGATACTCGGGGATGATAGAGTTGCATGGGAAACCGGGGCTTTACAGAGCCCTGAAAATAGACCCAACTCTCTTAACCTTTTAACTGATTTACCAGCAAACTGTTGCAACCTAAGAAATTTCACATGCTGCTGTGTGTTACTCTCAATGAATCAGGAAGAGCGGGCCAATCCACTAAACTAACACACGGATTGGGCTGCAGATGGTACGGCAGTGAGTATTATACATTGTAATATTAACTGGGATTCTAGAAGCCTAGTTTACATTTCTTTTAAAAACAGTAAGTGAAGCAGCTCGCAATACAAGGCAACAATAAATCCACGAATCGTTCGAGCACTAAACCTCACGGGCCTGCCACGATATGCCACAGTGAAACAAAAGTGATAGGTTTGGAAAAATAGTAAGTTCACAAGTTAGACAGAAATAAGGTACAACAAAATTAAATAAACGTGAAATCCGAAAATTTGTAGCCAAATTCTGCTAAAAGTCTGAAACTGAACGAAACCATCTATAGACTTTCGACTAAATACCTAGAATAGGCAAATTAGTCCTTAACTGCATGTAGAATAGTTCACTTTTGTGAATTTGGAGTTCATACTCCCGCCAGCCCCGATTGTGTCATTCATAGTTTCTTCACTCAATGTTTCTTCCAGGAAGCAAGCTTATCTCGCATCTCTGCTGAGTTTTCTTTTCTTACTCCGGATAAGGACTTCTTGAATTCGCCCGTCACGCCCTGTTCTTGCCTTTTCCTCTATGCCCTTAGACCATAGACCTCTTGATGTTCATAAGTCTGGGACTAGCACTTGGTCGCCGGCTTTCAAGTTGCGTCTTCCTCCGTGTCACCTTTGTCGTGTTTGCAACGTAGGTAGGTAAGACTTCAATCATCTTCTCCAAGACTTTACTCGAAAAATGATGGACTTGTATCCAACGTCTCGTAAACCTGTTCGAAATAACTCTTTGTATTATGTCCAGGTGTCTATCAGCAGTTAAGGTTAGAAGTTAGGTAGGTGTTATGGTTCTAAGTTCATCAGGATGACTAGCATTAAGCGTAAGAGGTATCTGATCGAGAATATGTTCGATCTCTACAATCATTGTAGGAAGTGCTTCGTCACTGACAAGCTGTTCTCCTACTAACGCACTGGGTATCGGTCGTGTGAAGCGAATTAGGCTTTCCCAGGCATCTCCGCGATGATTCCCGTACTGTGGGTTAAATATCCACTTGCAGTTTCTTTCGCTCAGCGACCTGTGCCATTTATCCTGATCCCATGACCAAATCCGTGATTTCAAATCGCCTTCAGCACCCCTAACATTCAATCCGTTGTCGCTGCAGATCCCTAATAGAAAGTCTCTCCTCCATGCAAACCACGAGAATGCGCATTAGAACGAGTCGGTATCCATAGTATGGGTGAGTTCAACATAAACAGCTCTCATGTAAATAGACAGCCATAGCGTTTTTCCGTTCTTCTCCTTAACTTCACTAACAGTGGTCCAAAGTATTCGACTCCAACGGCGGAGAATACCGGTTGGAATGCCAAAGAGCGGTCCTCGATCAAAGGGGCCATCTGTTGTCCGCAAGACTGATTATACCAAATCTTACAACGTGCCCACCGTTGCAGAACCTTACGTACCGCTTAAGCGCCTCGGAATATACAGTAACTGGCGTAGCTCAAACTATACATGAGAAGGGCCGACGTGCTCGTTTTTTTCGTGACAGTACAAAATAATTAAATAAGCTACAAAATGCCGGGAAGGAAGCAGAACCGGATGTTTGGTGTCGTACGGCAGTGGTGCCCAGTTAAACATTCCACCAACACTTAACATGCTGCTGCACAACAATGAGCAGAGCCTCTTCAACTGGTCGACCGAACGCCTAAGGCATCTTATCAACTCATCTTGGCTACTGTATTTCAGTGCTTAAATCTCGTTAGCGAACGAATCTTGTTGGACATCCTTAAATCTTTTACTTCAGCTTCTTTTAGTTCACAGGTCATCGAACGCCTTTTAAATGTGCTGGTCACACAGCTACCGGACTTTTGCATTAGGTACCTCTTAAATTTAAGCAGAAAGACGAAACGCCTTTTAAGCACAATCCAGCTACTGCAGTTAGAAGATAATTCTAACCACGTCTTCTCCGAAGCTGCGCAATGGACCCGAATGTCCTCCTTCTTCATCCATTCTTTCGGTGATTAGTTCAGTGTATAAGGCTCTTTGGACCAACGAGATGAATCGAGATAGAAGTAACAAGGTCCGTCGAGCCAGTTTCCCACTAGTAATTTGTCAGTGGCTAGAAAATCACGGGAAGATAGCTCGGCAGGCTTTTTTGATGTTTCTACGTGCCTCCATTGCATCGGATAAGCAAACTGGTGAATCAGTGGAAGCCAATTGGCCATAAACGTCGTAAAACGCTTAGTTTTACCTCTGATGGGTTGTGACACCATCATTGAGTCAGTCCAGAATAGAGGTAGTTTTTCGATCTGTAGCTCATCGGACACTTGAGTATCTAATCCTACAGTGAGCATGGCAGCCGCTAGCTCTAGTCGCGGAATTGTAACTGTCTTTATTGGTGAGACGAGAGACTATCCCATAAGGATGGAGCTTTTGACCCGGTTGTTTCGACTGACAATCCTTGCGTGCACCACTCCTCAATATCCATCCGCTGACGTATGGTAGCAGCATTACAAATGTATCTCGCTCTCGTAACATGTTCTGGGTTTAATACACCTCGGGATTCCTAATTCCTTCAATGAATAGAGATCATCCAAAAGACGATATCATTCGTTTCGTCCTGCTTCGTCGACACAAGTGTCCAAACACATTCCTTCCCAAACAAGCGTCTGTAAGGGCTCTTTTCTTCTAAGTAGCACAGGGGAAACAAGGCCTAAGTGGTGATGAATCGACGTAATAAAAGACCAAATCGATCTTCGGATAGAGTTCCCTACGAAAGTTTGTTGAACCGAATGTTATACAGTCATTGCATAGAGCCCACTTCGATCCTAGGGCGGGATGTACTAGGTCAGATTAAAAAGTCAACGGAATCAGTGGAAGTTGCATTCCGCCACGAATGTTGAATGACCAGGGAATGGTTGTACTTCCATTTACTCAACTGGAATCTTCCTTTAGGTGTGATTCCCTGAAACTGTGTGATGCGACCTCGAGCGACGTTCCGACTATCACAGCTTAACAGGCTGCCGTCCACATAAAAATTTCTTCTCAGGACTGACAATATTGACTGGGGGTACTCATCTTTACAATCCTCTATAGTCCACCGTAATGCAAACGAGAAGCATCATGGGGACAAAGTTACATCGAATGGATGGACCGTCCTGCGAAACCCTTTTGCAGGTTCACGCAACCATCCGTTGGACCACCACAAGAATCGTAGGTAACCTCGGGCTTTCGGCTGCACTTTTACCTGATGGAACGTCGCTTCCATAACAGCAACTACACCGACTAGACTGTTAACTAAATTGGATCCCTTCAACAATTGTCGGTTTGAGGAAGCATGTTGGTACAGTTAAAAACAACACGTACTTTACCTGTGTTTTTGGGCTGTGTGACAGCGTGGTGAGGCACGTACCACACTCTGTCTTTCCGCACGAATTGTCCTGACCCAACTAATTCTGCTAATCATTGCGATATCTACCCACTGACTGTCTTATTCATCTGATACAACTCGGTATTTGCCATGAGGATTTTCCATGATATCAGTCTGCGGTAGGCGACAGGATAATTAGTTTGGAACTTCAGACGTTCAAACTTCTACGGCAAGGCGAGCTGTTAGTGAACTCCAGACTTGGTGACAGATGCTTCCATATATGCTTACATATGATTGGGTTTGAACCGGTGCGAAATCACCAGGAACCGAGCTACAGACACGCGGAGCTACACTGCGATCGACCGGGTTGGTTGTAAATTGGATCGCAGTATATGACTCGGAAAGATCGACATTACGTGGATCGAACAGAAGAGATTCTAGATTTTTACTTAACGGCATCAGCTAATTTTCCGTTCCCTCTCTTCAAAGTAAAGGCCTCTAAGCGTTGTCCCAATTCTTTAATTCGACGTAAAGATACTGACAACGGATCGACCGATGACACTGACCTGGATCCACTCGTATCCTGTGACAGTTGTGGTGCAGAAGGTTCCTTAATCTCATCCATGTATTTGCGCGTCGTAGAAGATTCAACTTTGCTACTGCTACCGAATCGGAAAGAGCGGGCCGATCCACTATGGTAATTTACATAAAACAATACAGTGAAGTAACGAATAGATGAAGTGTGTCGCAAAACGAGACAACAGTACATGCACGAATCGTTTTGAGCAATTACCGTCCTGAACGCGTCACGAATATGACACAGTAAAATGGTTGTTTTCAAACCTTTCTGAAATCATAGGTGATAAGTTTGGAAAAATAATAAGTTCACAAGTTAGACAGAAATATTGCACAACAAAAATTAAATAAACATTTAATCCGCAAATTTATGGCGAAATTCCGCTAGCAGTCTGTAACTGAAGAAACCCATCGATAGCCTTTCAATTAAGTGCCCAGAATTAGCAAACTAGTCATTAAAAGTCAGTAAACGAGTTCACTTTTGCGAATTTAGAATTCACAAGTTGTACTCAGCACGTTTTGTTGGAAGTACGTTGGACGGTTTGGCATTTTATGTCATGATATTACAGACAATATTTACTGAAGTAATTCGAAATCACTAATCCACAAAGTCATGTATAAAAAGCTTTGAATGATCGTCAAATCTAGTGTATGCAAGGCCTTAGGTGAATTGCTGGGCTGTAATTCACTTGCTGAACTCAGTCATGTCGTAGTGCCCATTCCCTTAACATCAAGTGTTATATGGAAAAATAGTTGTCCTGCAAAGAAAGTATAGCTAACTCATTTTTTATTTTTTATACCGTCAGAGAAAACGGAAATGCTGAAATGTTCTGCTATTCACTCCATTCCCCCAACTCTCGCAAGTCTCGGTGAAGATATTAATGGAGACTTCGAGTCAAGACCACCCGTCAATTCAAAACAACCCGGACCCTTCGATAATCAAAACAAAAATCTTTGGGGGAATACAGTTTCAAAATGTTCGAATCCTGGGTTCCGAAATACATCAGTTGTTGCGCCAACAAAAGACTTACTGTGCATTGGGGATTTGGTGAAAGAGCGATGGCGAGTGGTTCGAAAACTTGGTGGAGGAGGGTTCGGTGAGATATACGAGGCGGTTGATGTTAAACGAATGCTGTATGGTAAGGCAGATACAGCAGGTTCTGTGAATGCCATAAGTCAACCTGTGTGTGCACAATGCACTTCTAAGGCAATGCTGAAAGACGCAGACCCGCAGCCGATTTTCATACCTGAATTAGGATATGTGGTCAATAAATTGAACCATAGCGGAACCACCTCAGACAGTGGGATCGGACTGCCGCAAGTCTCTTTGGAACCTAATGCTCAAATTACAACTACTAACTCCATTTCAGGCATCTCAGGGACCATTGAAGAACGACTTCGTTTTCCATCTCGGTGTCAGCCGGTTGCAATCGATGTTAGCACCAAATGTGAAGAACTGAATGGACAACTGGATCCTTCATCAATACGCACCCAGCTGTCCAGAGTAATCGCAAAAAACACAAGCTGCGCGGTTTGCAAACTTCCGGTGACCTCCAAGCGTACAAGTCGACCGAATAGCGTACCCAATGAGAATTGCACTTCTGTCGACTCCGGCATTTCCACAGTATCCACTGATGTAGTAAATATGCGAGTGGCTGTCAAGGTGGAATCGAGCAAACAGAAACGGCAATTATTGAGTATGGAAGTGGCTGTTCTTCGTCGTTTGCAAGGGAAACCACATTTTTGTCAGCTACTTGGTTGTGGTAAAAACACTCGGTTCAATTACATGGTGATGACGCTGCAAGTGAGTTTCTTCCCTACTGGGAATTTTCTTCATAAACTACTTTCACATCCACAGTTGAATACTTTTCCGGTTGAAAACTTGGCAGCCTAAACGTTCGCAGTAATGACAATTGTGGTGCTATTTTGGATAACTCTCGTCAAGTCCGTTTTTCCGTTATGTAGCAACAAGTAAATGAGTTCTGTGGAAGAAGAATGTTAGCCACTTAAAATGTTAGGCTACTGTCAGTGCACACAAACGACTACCTAATTAAAACAAAGCACTGCCAAAGGCAAAAGCTGCAATATGTTGCTAAAAGCAGACGCATTATGCCAGTAAACCTCGAAGCCAATCCATCTTATGCCATACAAGGCTTACATGTCATAGCAATTGGGCAGGTAAAAGAGCATCATTGAAGTAGAGTTAATGACACCCTTCTCCAACGCTAAAATAGCATCCTGTAAGCCAAAACTTACTCATTGAAGCAATACGCAAGTCAGGCGAGTAGTTTGAACTTTGCTTTCATGTTCAGTATTTAATAACTTAAATAAGGCGGCACAATAATCTTGGGTTGTTGAAAACCTATAAGCATAACTTGAAACTTGGATAGATAAAAAGAAATGAATTTTTCGACCAATCTTTTCCACTGGGTCTGCAAATACCACATCAAATAGGTAACACTATGCCTTTGTGCTTCTTGACCATGTATGCGGTCTAAATACGTTGTAAAACGCAAAGCTTTGCACCCAAACAGAAGTTAACTATCCATTGTTGTAAGGGATTGAAATGTTCGGCCTGTGGTCCTAATTTCCGTTCCATAACAGCTGGTCCAGTGTGGGCTTTGACGCAATAAGTTAGTTGTGTTGCATAGTTAACACACTACAGCTCAATCAAATAAGTAAGCTCAAAACACAGAGGTTTCGTAGCTTCAACCATCCTTGCTATGTTGTTGAATGTTAACCACAATATGGATAACAAAGTAAACTACAAAGTATGTTAGAAAAAATAGGAGCCAACCGATGGCCAAGAGCGACCCTGCACAGGAGTGCCTTTTACTCCGCAACTGGTTTCCAATGCATACTGCCTATTTTTGTCAGATATCGATGCCGTAATCTTAACCCCCACATGCGAGCGGTTCTGGAAGAACCTCCTCATCATCACCATCATAATTACACATTGGCTGCAAGTGATAAACGCACTTCAACTACTGTGCCATAATACAAAAAGCAGGATATTTGAGAAGGCGAGGTACTAAATATTATAGAAAACAGGTAACATACTGCTTAGTAACATATTATACTTCAAAACGGAGATCGTTGTTGGTAGGAACGTAGGCGGGATGCGAAGGGACAAAGAAACTTCCGACACAAACGCCATTGAGATCGGCTCTTCGCCATGTCAACTTGTCGACTGGAGTGGTACGACACCCTGCAATTTCGTGTGAGTCGAAACCAGAGGGCAAGCGACCATTAAAACAAGGTGTTGGAGGGCCGCGAATAGGGGGGGGGGGGTTGAAAACAATGGGACGATGAAGATGAAAATATGGAAGAGGGGAATAAGAAGACGAGAGGGCTTGACCAGTAGCATATTTACCCCATCCACCCTGCTCTATGCAGCAGGTAAGGCGCCTTTGGTTATTTTCTGCCATGGCCAGGGTATCAAAAAATCGTTAGAAGCTAAATTCATTGGATTGTATGGCTAGGATACTGTTAGGTTGACCAGGCTTAAACAAGAGAACGATTACTGTCCTCAACCAAAGCCTTTGGTTCAAAAATCGGGCTCTCATTATATGCAACTCTTCCTGAATCAAATCATCACTGTGTAAACAAATCCGTTTCATTTAGTGTGAAACTATCCATTTAAGTTCTACAATGCTCCTGACTGTTGTCAGCGCACCTGATGACCTTGAAACAAGACGTGCTCTCCGATTTTAGACACTAGACGTTATATCATGACTTAACAGTGGATGTAGTGTCAGAATGAATCATACCGTCGTCGGTACCTTAGCGACTTTCCGCGAGTTAATTTACTACAATTAACTCTATCCCTGTAATGCTGAAATCTAGTATTGGTATGGCTTTGTCGTTATCGAAAGCCTAGCCGAAGCAGAAGGTGGGATGCACGTATGTGTGTAAAGCTAGGGGACGCAGTGAGCTAAAACACTCAGAAAAAGTTAGTGGCTAGTGTAAGTACTCGTAAAATTAACCCTCGTTTATATAAATCTATGCTATCGTGTCCATTCCCACTATTCGGGAAGAGAGATATCTAGTGTTGCTTATCGCCACATAAAGGTAACCACCCTAAAACGGCTTTTGACAAAACTAAAGGATGCTGTGTACTTGCAACCGTATAGACCAAGACAAACAACCGTTGGTATACCAATTTTAACAACCCTTAGATGTCACGTGTCGAATTTCCAGGTAGTTCCAAAAGCTGCTTGTTATCTGGTTACTATGGTGGATTTATTTCTAGCCGTCTTAGCGCAAACCAATCAGCCTGCATTCATTATACTCGCATTCATCAACTCTATCTAGTGAACTTCTCAGCACAAATATTATTTACTCTATACACCACCACATTTGCATTGCCGATCGCTGTTGAGTTACAAATGTAACTTACGCGCACAACTATATCATTTGATCGGGCACTCTTGGCTACCCAGAAAGCTCCCTAGCATCACCTGACGTTGTGTTCAGTAGTTACAGCCTTCTTTGCAACTGCAACCTGCGCATGTATTCTCCTACCGTTGGTTCTAGTTCCAAGGCGCAGATCGCACCCGCTTTCCGGGTCCCACATCATCGGCAATATCGACACATTGTCACCTTTGACGTCATCCACCTTTTGAACTACTACGCACAACACCTGTCCTGCCTACGTGTTTCTGCCTGTTTGAACATAGCAGCGTAGTCAATACCACCATACACTGTCCGCTCAGGAGCGTATACCCAAAACAATAACGCGTTCTTGAACACAACAGACTAGCGAATATGCTACTCAGCTGCAGCGCGCATCTGACCTGGCATGGTGGCCTGCAAAGCCAAACAGGTGGCTCGGTAACAAAGGTGCGGAAGGAATCGGGGGCCGCAG